CATAACAATTGAGAAAGAGAGAGTGTAAATCGATTTTTGGTGCATTAAGAGCTTCAAATTGGTTGTTCATGGTAGTTAGGGTATTGATGGCAATGTCAATCTTGTAAATACTTGAAGATGATGAGGTTGAGAGAGTAAAAAAATAATTTTCAAAAAAAAGAAAAGAAAAAAGTGTAATGGCATTTTCGTAAATAATGTGTACAGATGGGGTGAATAAAAAAAACGAAAAATCAAAAAACAAGAAAGGTTAGTTTTGTGTTTGACTTTGAGTTTTGAGTCAAATTTGGAAAAACCCCAATTAATAAAACTGTTAAATATCTCACATAAACTTTTGTGATCAAGGTCTAATTTTGTTCTATAATAAATTAAAATGATTATAAAATCATATGAATAAATAATTTTATTTTAATAGGTGTTTATGTTAATATATATATATATATCTAATATCGTATAAATAAATAATTTTATTTTAAACATAACTATAACTTAAAATTTAACTTAATTTTTTATAAAATTATTTTAAAATCTGATTTTTAAAAATATAATTTTCTAATATTATTAGACAAATAAATAAATTATATTAAATTAGTTTTAAAACTTTAGATATTCAAAATGAAAATATTCTACCAACTGCTTCTTAAGAAAGTATTAGAAAACTTGATAATGTTCTACCAATTAAGTCATATGATACTCCGTTTATTTTTCATCACTCGAACACTGAAAAATGAAAAAATATATGAATCGGATCCTTTAAATTCTAAGTTTTGATCTACAGTTCTAATTACAATTTTTTCTGATCCTACGTATGAATAGTTATATAAAAATTCCAAAATTGCAAATACATATAAAAACAATCATATGTAAATTTTAAATTTGTCAATACTAAAATTTTATATTTTAATTACATACATTTATCCTGCAGAAGGCGCATGTTTTATCCTAGTATCGTATTAATTATTTATATGTGCAACTAGCTTAGTTGCACAATTAAAGTCCAAAATTTAGCATAGAAAATCATTAAAGAAATAATTTTTCTTAATTTGACTAGCCTAGGTTAATTAATTAACTTAGATTAAGGTGAAGACTTGCAGTTTTAGTATTTTAAGACATTTTAAGAGTGAAATGACAGCTCATACTACAATGACAAAATTGGAATTTCCGTTGAATGGTGTGTGTAAACTTTATCCTTATCACGATTATTATTTTAACTGATGTTTGAAAAAAAGCTATATCAAAAGTTTCAAAACAAAATTAGTTAATTTATTATAATTATTATTCGTAGTCTACAGATTTCTTTCATTATAAATTATATTGTGTTCAGGTAAAGAATAATTTTCAATGATTTCTTAATATATCTGGAATGCAAAAAATTAAACATCACTTATTGAATATATATTTTCTTACAAAAGATATATAAACAAAGAGTTGAAGGCAAATTAAGACCTTGGTACCAGGAAAGATATAACTGCCTTTCTAAAACAAACTAAATTTTATAGCTGTAATACGAACGTAGTACTGGTAATTCTACAAGTAACTGAATAGAAACAACTCAACTACAGCGCACTGGTCAAGAAAATTTCTATTGAAAAGACGACATAACTAAAAGAACCAAGAACATCATCTGAACGAGTTTCCACGCTCCTCATACAAGTACAACATCCTTTGACTTAACTCTTGGCAGATTAGCTTGTAGTGATCAGTCTTGTCCAGTTGAAGATGCAATGTGTACAAGATTCTTTCTCCTCGAGAACTCGAAGATTTAACATCCACAACAACAAACCCATCTTCTTCTAATCCACTCAACACATTATATATTGAAAACTTATGGATCTTGGAAGATAAGATTTGGGCCATCACTTCGTTATCTCCATGCTTAGTCGCAAAAACGGTGGAGACATAACTAGCAACCGCCTTTGATTGTGGCTTAACGCAGCGTCCATTGTCTCTTTGATCCGATATTCGCCGCAAGAGGTCTTCCTTCTTTTGGATCAGATTCTTCACTTGCTCTTGTAGCTCCGGTATGTACTTCAAGCTCTGCAGAACCGTCCGAGGAATACTTAGCTTCTTCTGCAAGAAAGTAAAGCAAAAGGAAAAGAAAATGGGTTAATAAAATATGCTTCTTCCATAGGGCTTTTGATATGAAATATATTCATGACATATCCGAGTAGCTACCTTACATGTTGATAAGAGGCTGGAAGACATGAACGAAGAGATGAGAACAAAAAGTTCATCTTCTTGCGGCGGTCACGCTCATTAGCATTGTGATTAAGCTTCTTGATCACGACCGAATTGTTGTCGACTCCATTTCCGTCCGTCGAAACATATACCCCTAGGCCTGTCTGATGATGAGCCACTCCATACGTCTTTGGTACTGGAAAATCAAGAAACGTGCCTTTGTTGTAATAGCCCTCGTACTCTCCAGTCGACGCCCACCCAAGTTTTGGAAACAATGGAGGGTCCAATGACTCCAACTTATGCATTTTTTATTCTGTTTCTCTTGAAGCTGTTTTAGATGGGATTGTCCAGCGACGTATATATATAGGCGGATAGGAGGATTAGCCGATTAAACAAACAAATAAATCTCCGTTGGCAACAGACTGTTGCCAAATGAAAGTTAACGAACCACAAATATAATATGGTTTTTGTAAGTGTTTGGACGACACTTGCCTCTTATAAAAAAAAAAAAGTGTCATCCGACTTAAAACGTATAAACTACTTGATCCGTGCGACCGCACAAATATTAATTTTCACTTTTAAAAATATTCTTTTATTTTGTATAAATTATATAATTTAAATTTATAGTTTATACATACCATATAATTGTTTAGTATAAAAATAATTCTATTTATTACATTGAATAATTATAGTTTATTTTGTAATAGTCAATTATATCATCTATATTTTTATCATATAAATTTATTGTATTCAATTTAAGTTGACTTTTATTTATATGAAACTAACAGAATAATTTATATATTATATAAATGATTATTTTAAGTGGTTTTAATTTTTAGTTATTACTAATAAATATGAAAAATATAACTATATAAGGTTAAAACATTATTGTATTCTAAATTTAGTACACAAATACCTAAATCTGTATGTGGCTTGTATAGGTTATTTTATGTTTATGTAAGCTCATAATCATTTTACGTTTTATATTTTATCATGTTTATTAATTAATAACACATCCATCCGCATTCTGAATCAGTTATATAAATGCATGTTGGGTTTTATATAAGTTTATCTGACTACATCGAATAAATACATAACAAACTCAAAAATAAATATCTAAAATAATATTCAAAATACTAAAAAATACTTGAAATATTTATTGATTCTCCATCTAAATATTCAAGACAACCAAATTTTATGTTAAGTTTAACTATTTTGACATATATTATTCAAATTTATATGTTATATAGTATTTTATTTTTAGATTTTGAGAAATGTGATGTTAAATGAATTTTAAATTTATAAACTAGTTTTAAAGGGTTATCCACCGAACTTGGGCCAAAATCTATAAATACCAAAATGGGATTAAAACCTTTAACTCTGAAAATCCAAAAAACAAATAGATCTGAACCGATCCGAACATGTATCTGAATATCTACCCCTAGGTTAGATTAGAGGAAGTAATTCTTATTCAATCATACATGATTTCATTTATAGAATATAATTTATTGTTTAGCTATATTGTAAAAATCAGTTTAGTCACCAATATATGAAAAGATTATGATTTAAGTAACAAATGATTATGTCTAAATTTACTATACATGGAATATTTCAAATATTTTTTGTGATCGAAAATGATTCTATTGTTATTTATGATTTTAAATAAATAACAAAATTTTGTTAACAATGATAATCGTTTGTTATGATTTCAAAGAATATTTGGCGGTGTGTGTTTCTTAAATAAAATTTTTAGTTACGATTACGGAAATCGAAATGTTTGTATAGTATATATAGAACTTAAAACATTAGAAAATAACTTAAATACATTAAAATATATATACAAGAAAATTCGTCCTTTACTAGGACGAGTTTTTCTCGTTATTTCCTAGTAAATGACTATTTACTAGGAACTTACGAGGAAACGCGTTTCGTCGAAACACGTTCATCGTAAAGTCTTTTTCCTCGTAAGGTCCTAGCTAAATTACGAGGAAAATTTTCCTTGTAAACGCGTGGATAACTTTTCCACGTAAGGTCCTCGTAGTGTTTCCTCGTAAAGTCATAGTAAATCAATTTCCTCGTAAGCTCGTAGTAATACATTACGAGGAACTTACTAGAATAATGTTTTAAAAAAATTAAATAAATAATAAAAATTAATAGAAAAACAAATTATTTACCTCCTCGTAAATCTTATCCACTTCAAGAGTGTATAATATGACTAGAGTCTCAGTCTGCTGAGTCAGCTGGGTCTGGCGTTCGTCAACCCGGGCAACAACCTCATTGTAGATCCGCTCGGATCTACAATCTACAAACCGCCCAGCCTTGTTCCGGTGGGTCCTCCTGTAAAGATCTTTCAGAGAAGGAAGAACTCCTGTCTCTTTAGCCTAAAAATAATTTTTAAAATTAAATATTAATTTGAAATATCCAAATAGAGTAAAAATTAAATAGTTATTAAAAATCATCTTACCATGTCTAGACGAACTCCCCCGTGAGGTTTTCGACCCGTGGTGTGAAGCATCTTCGCGTTGCCATGCTCGTCTCTTGTCATGCGGTTCTTGGAGTTTGTGTGGGAGGTTCTGACCGAGTCCGGCAACCCCCAATATCTGATGAGGCCATCCCACACGTCGAATGTGGGGCAATCGGGTTTCCTGTCCTCGTAACCATCCACCTGAACAAAAAATAATTATAATTAATTAAAATCAATAAATGATTTAAAATTATATATATATATATATATATATCTATATATATATATAATTTATAAATCCACACCTGAAAGTCGCCCTTCCAGTTGTAGACCATGCCGAGCAATCGTGCTCTTGCCTTCGTCTCAAACTCTGTCTTCACCCGCTGGTGAATCCCTATAGACAAACGATATTTTTGCTGTAACCAGAAAAAATAAGAGACGGATTAGTTCAATAATATTAATAATTTTAAATAAGTAAAAATAAATTAAGTTGATTAATTAAAATTACAGCGAACGATTTAAACCACGTCTTTTTGTGTGGCTGGGCGTCTTCTTCCAATTTGGAGCTGCATCGGGAAAGTATCCCTTGATACAGTCCGTGACGCTCTGAACGACACATCCGTCAAGATCAAACCTGGAAAGACACAAAATAAAACATTAATTAGATTAATTTGTAAATATTTTGTTAAGTAAGAAATAAATTAAAAACGCTTTTTAAAAATTAAAACATACCATAATATGTTGTGGCCATCCCGTCGGATATGATCTAACTCTGGCAGCCCTTCTCTGCCTGGAAGGGCCATAATATCCTCCATCATGTACACCGCAAATGGTGCGTTTGGTGGCACCTGCAAATCGTGATGAACTCCCACCAGTGGAGGAGGAGGAGGAGGAGGTGGAGGTGGAGGAGGTGGAGGTGGAGGAGGAGGTTGTTGGTCAGACTGGGACGTCGTAGAAACTCCCTGGGTCTCAGGAACAGCGTCACGATCCGGAATAGAAGAACCGGGAGCAGACGAAGATGATGCGTCTGGGTGATGACCGAAAAGATCTCCGTAGTGACTCCCCTGAAGAGGCCTCTTAGCCTTAGCAATCTTGCTCTGTCTAGGCATCTAAATTTTTTAAAAAATCAAAACATTAATTCCCGTATAATTTAAAAAAAAACAGTTAAAAAAGTAAACCAACCTAATCTAAATTACCTAAACTAACCACCTAATCTAAATTCCCTAAACTAACCACCTAATCTAAATTTCCTAATATAATCACCTAACTAGGAAATAAAGAGAACCTTAAGAGGATTCAGAGAGAAGCTTACTACAAATGTGAGAAATCGGATGGCTCAAGTTTATATAAGGAATTTTGTTTCCTCGTAAAGTCCTAGTAATACCATTACTAGGACTTTACGAGGAAACTGCTTTACGAGGAAGTAGCTATACCCGCGTTTGTTTCCTCGTAAAGTCCTAGTAATGGTGTTACTAGGACTTTACGAGGAAACAACTATGCCCGCGTAATCTGTTACTAGGGATTTACGAGGAAAGGGTTTGTAAATCCCTAAACTGGAAACCCCAAACCACAACTTCCTTAACTTATAACCTCTTCTACAACCAAACTCTTAACCTCTTCTACACATAAACCCCAAATTCAAATTAATTTTGTGATTAAACAAACTTAAAACATATATAATCCAATTTCTTTTTTGTGATTAAACAAATTTATAAACATACATAATTCATTCGGATACATTCTCGTAATATGTTGAAACATCATCATTTTTGTAAAACTCGTCCTCTACACCTTCGTCCGTTGAGTGATAAGGAACATCTTCGTATTCACGATTATGCGGATCATTGAGTAGGATGTCATCAATTTCTGCTTCAGGTTCCTCGATCTCATTGGTGTTTTCTTCTTGTAATGGTGGTTCTTCTCGAGCGATTATTCGTCCTCGAGGTATAACTTTGATAACAGCTAACCAGTTTATTCCCGAGGTAGTAATCCGAGGGTATGGAATGAAGCAAACTTGATCTGCTTGGGAAGCTAATATGAAAGGCTCGAACTTGTTGTACCTACAAAAATAAAGATCAATGTAAAAATTAATTAATACTCGAAACCTGGATATAAAAAAAAAGAATTTGTTGTACCTTCGTCCACCATTGACATCAACTACACCGTTCTTGTTAATCCGAACACTTCTGTTGACGACAGGGTCGTACCACTCACACTTGAAGATAACGCATTTCAAACTCATACCTGGGAATTGAACTTCATAAATCTCCTACAAAATCCCGTAGAAATCTGTTTCGCCTTTCACACATATTCCATAATTACTTGTTGCCCGGTGTCTACCATAGTCATAGGTATGAAAAGTATAGCCTCGGATGAAATACATCGATGATGCAGTGACCTTTGCAACTGGACCTTGAAGTAATTCGCGAAACCATGTGGGATACTCATGATCATCATAATCAACCTGCAAAAAAGTAATTAATAGAACTAGCTAGACATTAGACTTACTTTGTGGTAATGTATGCTTAAATTTAAGCTATAATAAATACATGTTTCCTCAACCACTTGATAAAGTGTTGATCTTTTCTTTTGTCTAACTCAGTTGTCGATATACCAGGTATTGCTTCTTCGACTTGAGTCACAAATTGGCTGTAAAATCATATATATATATATATATATATATATATATATATAT